TCAGTACAAAATGAAAATGGAACAAGATACGCATGAGTTACAGTAATTAGAGAGAGTAACGGGGTGAGAGAGCAGTCCCACATCGACGTGGAGATAGAAGAGAGGTCGAAATGGGTTGTATAAAAAGGCGAAAGGAAGTTGAAAGAAAGCATGATCCTTCAGGCAGAAACGGGATGTGATGAGTGGTCAGTATTCGCAATAATTATGCGAGAGATGGGTGTCCGCCCCAAAGCCTGGTTACGACAATTGGGCACCCTAATCTTTGTACCATCTGATCCCTATTCTCTCAATAAGCACCAAACACTAATTCAGTTTTAAACTTTTTTCATTTTTTTTTTCTTTTTCCATTTTTGTTTTGGAAAATAATATTTTGTTTTGAGTTGCAAAGTTTGTTGCTTTGTATTGATGAATTACATGCATTGTTTTTCTTTTTTGTTTTCATCTCAATGAACAATGAGTGGTAAAGCAAAATAGGGAAGTGAAGCTTCAACTGTATTCCTTGAAGCATCAGCATGAAATGAGAGGGGTTTTTTATTTTTTATTTGTAGGAAGGCGCCAAATGGCAACCAGAAAAACTCAAAACACCAGAGAACCTTGTTTGTGTTCTCCCTCAAATACCCAATAAGTCCTTTATTTGTTGGAAGGCGCCAAATGGCAACCAGAAAAACTCAAAACACCAGAGAACCTTGTTTGTGTTCTCCCTCAAATACCCAATAAGTCCGAGAAGATTCTTCTTGTGGTGTGTTTTGGCCTCTGACTTTAACCTCAGCTAGCTTTCTTTAAAGTTCAAGCACAAATTTCTAACATGTTGGCAGTAACAGGTCTGGGAATTAGGTGGAATCCCTGTGGACTGGAGACGTAAAAGAGGCACGTAATTGAATTTGAGAATTGTATTGTCTGACTTCGAAGAATTTGAATAATTTTCATGTATGAATCATGAACTGCTTATTCTTTGAGTTTCTGCGCTTGACCATAACTGAGTCAGATGATTAAATAAACACGGGGGGTTTAAACTTTTTTTTTTTTTATAACTATGTTCCTGATAACACTATTACTTGTCTGATATAGCAAGGTGTCATGAAAGCATCATTTGCAATGTCTGGAAAATACTTTATACAGCAGAAATGAGAAAAAGAACAATTCCGAGATTTAGTTGACACACTAAGGACTATCTGGCTGACCATGGTGGTATTGAGTCCACGATCAGAGACAGAAATATAGATATCCAGAAATCAATAATAACTGCGATCACTCTGATTGACATATAATGAGGATGGATTTGGTGGGACAGAGACTTCAATAGTTCCTTCAAGCATCTGTGTGACATTCTTCATGGTGGGTCTTAGTGATGGATCCTCTTGAATGCACCAAAACGCGATCATCGCATACTTCTCCATCATCTTGATGTCACCTATTTCCTCACCATTATCATTCTCCAATAACAGGTGTAGTGTCTTTTTCTTGTAGCAAGCATAAGCCCAATCAGCTAGTATCATTTGATCTTCATCCTCTATTTTTGGTTCATAATGCTTCCTGCAGCAAATTATCTCTAGTAACAAAATGCCAAAGCTATAAACATCCACCTTCACTGTGACAGGAGAGCTTTTGAACCATTCAGGGGCCATATACCCTTTTGTTCCCCTGAATCTAGTAGTTGTTCGAGTTTGATCCGTTTGCAAAAGCTTGGCTACTCCAAAGTCAGCAATTCTTGCAGTGAAAGAGTCGTCTAGAAGAATGTTTTGAGGCTTAATGTCACAATGTATGATTTGGCTGCTACACTCTTCGTGCAAATACAAGAGCCCTCTTGCAGTTCCTAAGGAAATTTCCCTTCTTTGATCCCAGCTAGGCATTGACTCTCCAAAGAGGAAGCTTGCTAAAGAGCCATTGGTCATAAACTCATACACAAGAATTCGGTGCTGCCCTTCGTTGCAGAATCCTAGTAGCTGGACCAAATTTCTGTGATTTGTTCTGCCAATCGCACTCACTTCAGCTTTGAATTCCAAATCATTTTCTCTGACCATACTGTCCAATCTTTTTACAGCAACAGATCTTCCATTATCGGATGCTAAAACTCCTTTAAAAACTGTTGCAAAAGCACCACGTCCTAGTTCTTCCTTGAATTTGTTGGTAGCTTCTTTTAGCTCCATGTAAGTGAAACATTTCAAATTAATGCTGTGAACAACTGGATAAAGTTTACTCACCTTTGCTTGCTTAGAATAGATGTGAGAAGCAAACAAATAGGTTATTAGAGAAACAATCAAATAGCTTATTATTATCATCAACACTGATCCAACGAGGATCAAAGCCGAATTCTCTTTCTTTCTTGCACGTGGGACTTCTTGTCTATAAGTAGAATTGTCTATCCGTACTTTGATCAGGGATATCCAGCCAACGCCCTTGTCGATCCTTCCATTTGAAAGGGGAATTCCCTTCTTCAAACAACCCCCAGTCGCTTTGTCAAAAACGGCAACGGCACAGAAACAATCACTTAGGCAACTTTGCCTGCAAAAATCCTCATTTACTTTCAGAAAATGCTCATAATCTCCATTAGGCCAATCTGTGTATAGCATCTCTTGAAACCCGAAATGATGTGTTTCTGGTGAGGTTTCATCGCAATTTTGGGGAACGAAGTTTTGCTTGCATCCTTTGCGCTCATCATTTGTATCAATGTATGTGTAATTCTGTGGGCACTGGCAAATAATTTGTCCTTCATCCTCATGTTTACATAAGCTGTTGAAACCACATGCACCACCACCTATTTTTTCCGAAATTGCAGTGCAGATATTTGGAGGTTTGAAGGACACAGTGGACCAATTCCTGGTCCCCTTTCCCACACTTGAGCCATTGCTTTTGGGGTAAATATAGTGCCTCAAAACTCCATCAAAATCAAGAGTTGCTCTCTGGTAGTAATCGTGCATTGAAACCTCCTTGTTTGATACCATGCTAAGTAGGCTTCCATTAATGTCTGTAAGGTAAATATAGCCAGACTCATTGAAGATGACTTGAAAGCCAACACCCTCAGTTTGGGTTGCCCAGTAACGAAAGTTAGGAGATTCGAATGGAAAATTTGCTGTATAAAGAGCAAGAATCCCCTTAGACTCTAGAGTAAACAGGAACCTTCCTTTTGAGTAATTTGTTTTCGTGTAGCTACCGTAGAGTGTGCTGTTTCGGTTTAGAGTCTGTGTTGGTAGGATTGTATCAGTTGGATGATTGAAACTCTCCCACAAATTGATTGAATTTCGGTTGGCCAAAACGAAATTTCCTGAATCAAGCATGGCTGCATAGGCAACCCCAGTAGCAGCAGCCTGCTCAGCAATGAACATTTGTGTGCCATTTGCAATATCATTCAGCATAAACTGGCCATCTGCAGTGAGTTCAACTGTAGATCCTTTTTGCACTAGATTGTTGCCATTGGCTGACCATACAATACTTCTTTCGGGAATCTTGTTAAACCAGATGGCTAGTATGAAGCCGCCATCATTACCAATCTTTTGGAAACCGAAAGCAAACTCCCCAGATGGTGAGAGCCAGGAAGAGTTATCGTCCTGAGCGGTGAGGGCTGAGCCTAAAGATATGTTATTGTAAGTTTGAGAAGTTGTGTGAAATGGCATTTGTAGAAGGGTAAGTAGAAAGCATAAACAATATGGTAGTTGAAACGCCATGGTAGGAAGTTAGATGAGTTAACACTGAAAGAGTAGTCTATGAACACCATTTCCATAGTAATGTATATGCCAATATTATGAAAATATTTTTCTTCGTCCAGCTTTGCAAATCACCTATATTCAATCCATTAAAATCATCGAGTATATGTATACATTAATGTCAACGACAATCCATTAAACAGAGACTTGTTTTCATATATCTGGCTTCTCTTACTAATGAAAAAAGTCAGCAGGATTGCTTGGCTTCCAATGTGCCAGACAATATGTTAACTTAAAGAACAACGTTTGATGTATTTTTATTTGACATCTTAATGGCAATCTCTGCTTTGTGTGTATGCGCCAATCGATGCTTTGTTTGGCAGATTGACAAACTCTTGAATTATATAATGATTTCCTACAAGATATAGATGGTGTTGCCTGCTTTGTTTATCTTTCACCGCCCTTTTAAATTTCTTCACACAATGACCTTCGTCACTATTGGCTTGTCTGAGTTAAATAAGCGTGTTGTATGATGTATTTTAGTACTTTTTAGATGCATATTAAAAATAAAAAAATCATGCAGAGTCTTTGAGATTTCAGATGGTGTTATGGATAGTTCAAAGCTTAAAAGGTCAAGCTATGTTGTCACTTAAACATAAAAAGTCCCCGGTATATTGAGACCTGGGATTATTTGAACAAATCTTCTGTAAGATTATTTGTACAAATCTTCCTCAGAAAATTAGTCTACCCCGTGTAGTTGAATCTTGAAGCCAGGAAAATTATTTATAGAGCAGAAAATTTATTACTAATTTCAAAGCAAAAATGTGGGGAATAATAAACAAGAATATTTCTACATTTTGTTGACACAATAAGGACGATCGGACTAAACAAATTGGTGGTTTTGAGTCCTTCATGATCAAACACACACAAAGTTTGATATCCGAAATCAATTGTTTTTATGATCACTTAGATTGAACATATAATGAGGATGGATTTGGTGGTATTGAGACTTCAACAGTTCCTTCAAGCATTTGTCTGACATTCTTCATTGTGGGTCTTACTGATGGATCTTCTTGAATGCACCAAAATGTGATCATCAAATATATTTCCTTCTCATTGATGTCTTCCTTTGCCTCCTCATCATCATCAATCTTCAGTAACGGGTGCAGTTTCTTTTGTTTATAGCAATGATATGCCCAATCAGCTAGTACCATTTGATCTTCATCCTCCATCTTTGCTTCATAGTTCTTTCTGCAGCAAATAATCTCTAACAGCAAAATTCCAAAGCTTTAAACATCCACCTTCGCCGTTACAGGCAAGCTTTTGAACCATTCAGGGGCCACATACCCTCTTGTTCGTTTAAGTCTGGTCGATTTTCAAAAGCTTGGCTATGCCGAAGTCAGCAATTCTTGCAGTGAAAGAGTCATCTAGAAGAATATTTTGAGGCTTAATGTCACAATGTATGATTTGGCTGCTGCATTGCTCATGCAAATAAAAGAGCCCTCTTGCAGTTCCTAAGGCAATATCTCTTCTTCTGTACCAGCTTGGCCTTGAGTCTCCAAAGAGTAAGCTTGCTAGAAAGCCATTGCTCATAAACTCATATACCAGAATTCGATGTTGCCCCTCATTGCAGAATCCTAATAGTTGGACTAAATTTCTGTGATTTGTTCTGCCAATTGAGCTCACTTCAGCTCTAAATTCCAAATCATTCTCTCTAACCATAGTGTCCAATCTTTTGACAGCAACACATTTCCCATCATCGGATGCTAAAATTCCTTTGAAAACTGTTGCAAAAGCGCCACGTCCTAGTTCTTCCATGAATCCATTGGTAGCTACTTTCAGCTCCATGTAAGTGAAACATTTCAGATTAATGCCTTGAATGACCGGGTAAAGCAGACTCACCTCTGCTTTTCTGTGATAGATAATGCACAAAACAAGCAAATAGGTTATCAATAGTAAGAAGAAGTTGAGAAACGCCGAACTACCTAGGAGCACCTGTTCAATGGCGATGAAAGCTGAATTATCATCCTTTCTTGCATCTGTAGAATTGTCTCTCCTTATTTTTATTAGAGCTTTTGAACCAACAGTGGGGTCAATCCTCCCGTTAACAAGAGGAATTCCCTTCTTCCAACAGTCATTGTTTTTTAAAATGACAACTGCACAGAAACAGTCATTTAGGCAGCTTTGCCTGCACCAATCCTCACTTACTGGCTGAAAATGATCATAATCAGAATTAGGCCAATCTCGGTTTGGCAGTACTTGTAAATCAAAAAGATATGTTTCTGGTGAGGTTTCATCACAACTAAGATGCTCATCTTATATTAGATTTAAAGCAAGGTTCGGTGATCGGTGGGTGATAATACGACTACCTCCTAGTTTAGCCTTTGTTGAAACAAAAAATTCACAAAAAAATTTGGATTGTGTTTGGCTAAGCCCACGTCCAACAAGCTCATCTAATATAGATGATAAGTGTTTCAAAAAAAAAAAACAAAAAAAACAAGTAAAGCCAATTATCCAATAGGCTTTCCAAGTTTCAAAGACAAGGGATAAAACAATTCAAAGGTGGTAATCGGGCGTATAGCTAGGCGGTAATCGGGCGGCAAGCAGGGGCCTAGTACCTAGAGGAGTAATCAGGGCCTAGGCCTTTCTCCTTTATATATATATATATATATATATATATAATTATTTATAATTATAAATTTATATCAAAATCATGCAAAATAAAATGATATATGAGGGACTAGTCCTCACCTACGTGCAGGGGATACCTTGGATTCATCCAAAAAAAGGGTTAAGCATAAAGCATATAATAATACTCTATTATTCAATTAACATATTAGTTTAAAATATTATATTGCAATTTTTGGGTATAGACCGAAAGGGTTTTTGTTTGTTGGGCCCATAAACAATACGTATTAGCTTAATAACTCCTACCCACCAAAACGATACGTATAGCTTAATAACTCCTACCCAACAAAACGATGCGTAGAGCGTATTCCATTAGGTCATCTTCTCCGCGTTACCACCTGGTGCTGCCGCCCCGCAAGCTCGTGGAGCAGATCCAGCCAAATCTTCTTCGCTTAGTTTACCACATGGTGCCGCCTAAAGCTCTCAGAAATGAAGGATCCGCCCAGGCACCTAGACCCGCCCAGGCCACGCCTAGGCCGATTTTTTGAACACTAGCAGCATATGCATGTGTATGATATTAAAACACCAATTGGTAGGAAATGGAAGGTGATGAATGATTCTGACACAGACAATGTACCACATGAATATAAATTAATGCCAAAATATGTCATGGGCAGAGTGATACAGAACTCGTCACAGGCAGAGCTGGAATGCTGGATAGAAGAGCTGGCTATTCCCTTGCATTAATATATATGTAGAGAGAGAGAGAGATGGTACAATACCATTCATGTTCTGCATATTTTATGGTTGATTGTACAATGCATCCCATGACTGATAGAATTCATAGTTTCTGTAACTTATATTTTGTATTTTGGATCTGTTTGGGAGAAAGGAAAACAAACTTAGATGAGAAAAGAGAGAGAACGTTGCTCTGATTTTTGAAACTGAAGAGTGTGTACTGTTCATTCTATTTCACTAAGCAAATATATCTGTTGAGGAGAGAGAGAAGAGAGATTCTTCTCTAACTGCGTTTACACAAGATTTGATCCTAGCGGTTAAAACTATCATCCTATGAGATGATTACATCTGTCACAATCTAACACAACACTTAAGAAGCCACTTGGACTATGATCCAACGGCCCATACAACCAGCAGAAATAGCATTTAAACTAAAAGAATAAAATTCAAACTGAGAAAAAAGCTTTGGCGCCAAGGACTCCAGCTCAAAGGGTTATACATCAACACTCCCTTCTAACCCTTTGGCTGACTTTACTCCAAGTAGATCTCTGAGATGCACAAAACGATCCTTGGATAAAGCCTTGGTTAGGATGTCTGCAATTTGATCTTCAGTTTTGCAGTAGATTAGCTCAATCTCCTTTGCTTGGATAGCTTCTCGGATGAAATGAAACTTTATGCTAATATGCCTAGATTTCTGATGAAAGACAGGGTTCTTTGCCATTGCTATGGCAGAGGTGTTATCACACAAGATTGGTGTGCCTTCCACTTGCTCCTCTCCAAAGTCTTCAAGCACAAACCTTAGCCATTTAGCCTGTGATGTTGCTTCAGCAGCACTCACATATTCTGCTTCTGCAGTGGACAGAGCTACTGTATTTTGTTTAATTGAAGCCCATGAGAACATACCAGATCCGAGAGTGAATGCATACCCTGAGGTACTCCTTCTGTCATCTTCACTTCCTGCCCAGTCACTGTCACAATACCCTATCAAGGTGGCTGCCTTCCCCTTTTTAAACTCAATTCCATAATCCAGTGTGCCCTGAATGTATCTCAAGACCCTTTTGGCTGTTCCCATGTGTTTCCTAGTAGGATTGTGCATGAATCTAGCAAGCAAACTAGAGGCAAACATTATGTCTGGTCTAGTAGCTGTCAGATATAGCAGGCTGCCTACAATCTGCCTATATTCATTCTCATCTGCCATCTCACTTCCATCTTCCTTGCACAACCTTTCACTTGCAACCAATGGAGTTACCACAGATTTACAACCTTTCAAACCAAATTTCTCAATCACTTTCATTGCATATTTCTTCTGATGAAGAAATATATATTTATCAGTCTGCACTACTCCCATGCCAAGAAAATGATAGAGTAGTCCAAGATCAGTCATCTCATAATGCTTCATCATGTCATTTTTGAATTCTTCAAGCAGCTTTGCACAACTTCCAGTATAAACAATATCATCCACATAGAGAGAGACAATAAGAATACCTGAACCTTCATCAGTTTTGATATAAAGTGTAGCTTCACTAGGACTTTTCTTGAATCCTGCTTTGTTGAAGTAGGAGTCAATCTCATCATACCAGGCCCTTAGGGCTTGTTTTAGTCCATACAAAGCCTTGTTTAGCTTATACACCTTGATTTCTTCATTCTCCTTCACAAAACCCTGTGGCTGCTCCACATATACCTCTTCCTTTAAGACTCCATTCAAAAAAGCAGACTTGACATCCAGTTGGTACAGATTCCACTCCTTTTGTGCAGCAAGAGCAATCAAGGTTCTAATGGTGTCTAACCTTGCCACTGGGGCAAAGGTTTCATTGTAATCGATTCCAGGCTTTTGTGAGTAGCCTTTAGCCACTAATCGAGCCTTATTCTTCTGTACAGTGCCATCTAGATTAAGCTTGGTCTTATAGACCCATTTGACACCAATGACAGGTTTGTTAAAAGGTCTTTCCACAAGCTGCCAAGTGTTATTCTTCTCAATCATTTCTAACTCAGCTTCCATTGCCTTTCTCCATGACTCATCTAGATCAGCCTCATCAAAATTCTCAGGTTCCACAATGCACATATTGCACTGAGCCATAATGTCATTAATACTTCTCTTTTTCAACGGGGGTATTGGATGATTCCATCATTTTCCACAATTGAGCAGCAGATTGGAGAGCTAAAAAGCTAAGGAAGGAGAAGGAGGTGCAGCCGAGGAAGAAGGGGGAAGACTTCAACCATTGAAGACTTCAAGCGTTCATCATTATTGAAGCCCATGAGAACATACCAGATCCGAGAGTGAATGCATACCCTGAGGTACTCCTTCTGTCATCTTCACTTCCTGCCCAGTCACTGTCACAATACCCTATCAAGGTGGCTGCCTTCCCCTTTTTAAACTCAATTCCATAATCCAGTGTGCCCTGAATGTATCTCAAGACCCTTTTGGCTGTTCCCATGTGTTTCCTAGTAGGATTGTGCATGAATCTAGCAAGCAAACTAGAGGCAAACATTATGTCCGGTCTAGTAGCTGTCAGATATAGCAAGCTGCCTACAATCTGCCTATATTCACTCTCATCTGCCATCTCACTTCCATCTTCTTTGCACAGCCGTTCATTAGCAACCAAAGGAGTTGCCACAGACTTACAGCCTTTCAATCCAAACTTCTCAATCACTTTCATTGCATATTTCTTCTGATGAAGAAATATATGCTTATCTGTTTGTACTACTCCCATGCCAAGAAAATGGTAGAGTAGTCCAAGATCAGTCATCTCATAATGTTTCATCATGTCATTTTTGAATTCTTCAAGTAGCTTTGCACAACTTCTAGTATAAACAATATCATCCACATAAAGAGAGACAATAAGAATACCTAAACCTTCATCAGTTTTGATATAAAGTGTAGCTTCACTAGGACTTTTCTTGAATCCTGCTTTGTTGAAGTAGGAGTCAATCTCATCATACCAGGCCCTTGGGGCTTGTTTTAGTCCATACAAAGCCTTGTTCAGCTTATACACCTTGATTTCTTCATTCTCCTTCACAAAACCCTGTGGCTGCTCCACATATACCTCTTCCTTTAGAACTCCATTCAGAAACGCAGATTTGACATCCAGTTGGTATAAATGCCATTCCTTCTGTGCAGCCAGAGCTATCAAGGTCCTAATGGTGTCTAACCTTGCCACTGGGGCAAAGGTTTCATTGTAATCGATTCCAGGCTTTTGTGAGTAGCCTTTAGCCACTAATCGAGCCTTATTCTTCTGTACAGTGCCATCTAGATTAAGCTTGGTCTTATAGACCCATTTGACACCAATGACAGGTTTGTTAAAAGGTCTTTCCACAAGCTGCCAAGTGTTATTCTTCTCAATCATTTCTAACTCAGCTTCCATTGCCTTTCTCCATGACTCATCTAGATCAGCCTCATCAAAATTCTCAGGTTCCACAATGCACATATTGCACTGAGCCATAATGTCATTAATACTTCTCCATTTCTTTGGTGTATGATCAAT